TTCTTGACGTCACAAACTCTATAGCGTCTGGGTGGATTCTAGCTTGTGATATGAACAGGAAACTGCCTGAAAACAGCAATTATGTCTTGTTACAGATAAACAGTCTTCACAGCCATAAGGAAATGTTACATCCTTGTGTAGAGTGTTGATGCCAGAGTAGGTGCTGAAGTTAGATGTTAGACAAATGTAAAATGGAACACTTTAGGGACCAAAGAAATATTGTCACCTATATCATTCATGTTTAGTGGAAGTTTTGGGTTTGTCACATTGGCTGTAAAATAGTACAGTCTTTAGACTGTACTCTTCAATTCAACAGCATGGGGTTGAGACTCATGACCCCGACTTGGCCAGTACCCGTCCCGGGACTCATGACCTCGACTTGGCCAGTAACGGTCCCGAGACTCATGACCCAGATGCCACCAGTACCGGTCCCGAGACTCATGACCCCGACTTGTCCAGTACCGGTCCCGAGACTCATGACCCAGATGCCACCAGTAACGGTCCCGAGACTCATGACCCAGATGCCACCAGTACCGGTCCCGAGACTCATGACCCCGACTTGTCCAGTACCGGTCCCGAGACTCATGACCCAGATGCCACCAGTAACGGTCCCGAGACTCATGACGCAGACGCCGCCAGTACTGGTCCCGAGACTCATGACCCAGACGCCACCAGTACCAGTCCCGAAACTCATGACCCCGACGCCGCCAGTACCGGCCCCGAGACTCATGACCCCGACGCCGCCGTCTTTTTGCTTTTGCCCATCCCCACAGTCACCCCCACACTCACTCCCTCACTCACCCCCTCACTCATCTGACCGACCGGCTGGTCCTCACCCTGCCCCACACTCACCCCCTCACCCACCTGACCGACCGGCTGGGCCTCACCCATCCCCTCACTCGCCCCCTCACCCAGCTGACTGTTTGGTCGTCGTGGTGCAGGGTTTAGAGAAGGTGTGCTGGGAAGCACAAGGTTGGTGGTTCGAGTCCAGGTTGCCCCATGTTCCATGTCGAAGTGTCCCTGAGCAAGACACCTAACCCCTAATTGCTCCCCGGGCAAAAATGTGAAAAAGCCACGGGTTTAAAGTGTAATGTAAGTCGCTTTGGATAAAAGCGTCTGCTAAATGACCTGTAATGTAATGTAATGACCGACCGGCTTGGCCTCACCCATCCCTACAGTCACCCCCACACTCACTCCCTCACTCACCTCCTCACTCATCTGACCAACCGGCTGGGCCTCACCCATCCCCTCACTTGCCCCTTCACCCACCTGACCAACCGGCTGGGCCTCACCCATCCCCACAGTCACCCCCACAGTCACCCCCTCACCCACCTGCTGGGCCTCCCCCATATCCTCACACATAAGACTGACTCGCTGGTCCTCACCTGCCCCCTCTTCCTCCCTGGCCTCCCCCTCGTTCTGGTCCCGAGTGGAGGGGTTCTTCTCTGGACAAACCGTCGCCAGGTGTCTTCACCACAACGGAAAAACCTCCCATCATCCGATGTGGCAAACATCACATAGTCGAAGCCCTCGATCCTCATCACAGAGCCTGGGCTTTGGTGAGGACCACGTGGAGCTGTCTCCTGTGAGACACCACATGTCTTAGCAAAAGAAACCTGCACCCTGAGGACACCTTCTTTATCTGGGACACAACCTTCCCGTGATTCACCAGCTCAGTTAGAGGATAAATAGTTGGCTCCAAAAATAGATTAGATATGGTTTGCTTGAAATCAATGTTTGATAAAAGAGGTTCAAGTAAGGAAGTTGGAGAGATTAGAAAAAGCCGTAGAGAACGTCTCCATCCAGAAGGGATCTACCAGCTGAGATGTGCTAGCTAATACACAAGGCCTCCTCATATACTGCTGTACACGGGAAATCTCTAAAGAGACATTGTAGGTGTGCAGTTTGATTAATGTTTGTTTTAACATCTCGATCATCTCACAACTGACAAAGAAGATGAAAAATGTATGAAACAGTTAAACGTTTTAGCTTGTTAGTTTATATTCAAGTATCACATGTATTACTTTAAAAGTGTACTTTTCATTTAGCAAACCAGCGCAAACAGGTTCACTTGTGCATTGATGAATCTGCTGGATTAAACACACAAGTTAAATGTTTAAAGTTAACATGGTTCAAATGTATAGGCAATGTACCCAATCCTGTTTTAGGTTTTTCCTTTATTCAAACCTTTATTTAAATATTTGGTCACTGTGCTGAACAAAGACATGTCTTCTAGTAAGTGTTTTCTTATAGACTATAAACAGTTACATTACTTCTTCCCTGCAAATAAAGTTAATTAACTTACAGGAATCAGATATTGTCACACTAATTGGCCAGCCGGTCAGAGCCAATGAATGCAGTAATAGAATCCAGCAGCTGTAGCAAACGTACAATCAGGATTTAGCTCAGTGTCATTTAGTTTGTTCAGCTTCTTATTTCACATTATTTGCTTCATCATTTAACCTTTTCAATAGAGGCCAGCAGAGTTCCTCTGGTGTGGCCAGATGTTACTCTTGTTTCCCTTTTTTGTAATCCCCGAATTTTTTGTCCATTTCCTTAAATACCACGTCTCACTGCAAGAAATCATCGTTCATTCAAAAGTGCTGCACTACGTTGTTCAGACAAACGGCCGATGTCGAGTGAGCCTGTGAGCCCACTGACCACGGTGAAACCACACTGCACGCTGCCTGCAAACAAAAGACGCCCGCGTGCAGAGCAGAGCATCTCACAGTCAGGATGTGGTCACACATATGACAGAAATAACCTTAGTGTAGCTGAGAGGGCCGTTGGACATAAATACATCTAATTGACAAACGAGCATTCTTTTCAGTGAGCGAGTGGAGACTCTTACAACGAGAACAATTTAAAAAACTTTATATATTTCCACGGATTACACTTCAGCAGTCACTGGTCCACAGCTTCAGTCTGTTGAGCTCTGCGGCCAAATGACGAGCTGTTTGTCACTGTGGGTTTCCTGTTATTAAGCTACTCAGTCATTGTATCTCACGATGCCGTTAAAGGCATGTGTGGGGCTGATGGCAAACTAGATATAAAAACTGAAAATGATCTGAAAACAGCTTTCGTGTCTCTTGATGGAAACACAATCATCACCGTCATGAAATGTTGATATCCATTGAAAATGTGAACTTGAAGCTGGATTGTGATCAACAACAACAACTAAGAGGTTTTCTGTCTGTATGTTAATGTGCCCATCTGATCAATTTGGAACTTAAATCTAAAGAGCAAACAAACCAGCAAAGATGAAATTCATTGGGTGTAAATATCTTCTCCTGAATTCAGTTTAGATGCAGTGTTGTTCTGACAGCACTGAAGGCCGGGCGTCTCAATTTATTGTCCTTGTTTTGTCAAAGGAGACATGTTCTGCTTAAGTTGAAGGCCATCGCTGGTCGGTGTTATAGGTGCTGTGATCCCATCATTAGATGTTGTAGAGTCGTGGTTGTTATTTTTCTTTTTTACACTCTACATCCTTGAAGTATTGATGGCAGAATAGGTGCTGAATCAGAACTTTGGATTTTCTTCTTCTTTGGTCTGTGTGATGTCTGTTGGATTTCCAGTGCAGCATAGCACACATCTTCATCCTGAAATTTGACATTTGTTCTTTAGAATCGTGACCGTGTACTGATTTATTGCCATGAATCAGTACTTTCTTGTGTTGCACCTACCCCATGCTGTCTTCTCTGAGGTGTTTGCTGATCAGGTTGTGGAGCTGCAGAAATCAATACAACATCAGTACAGACAGCGTGGTGCATCAACACTCAAACACGGATCCAAAGAAGAGACTTCAGGTGTCTTTGTGGTAGAAATGAATTCAGTAGATCAATGACATTTCTTACATTTAGCTCTTAAGGAGCAGCATACAGTAGTTACCTTTTTTCTGACACAGATGATAAACTAGAAGAGAGGAGAGGACGGAGGAGAGGACAGCAATAGCTGGACACAGAGAGACCAGCAGAGTCCAACACAGAGGACAGAGACATTCTGGAGTCTGGAGCGGAGAATTGCTGCAGTCTGGACCTGAAACAAAGTTGTGTCAATAAGCGTCATTAAACTCTGACCCACAACGATGAGACTAAACACTGTATGGATACATGTTGGCACAATAGAGATGTTGATGCTTTAGCTTTGTTCAGAACACAAACAAAATATATATGTTTTTCTTCATTAAATATATAAACATACAGGCCTTTGGTTCCTGAACAAACCTTTTTGCATGTGCATAAAGCACCAGGAATGAAAACACTGTTGTTTTGACTTGTTTGAATAAAGTTCAGCCGAGATTGTTAAGAATTCAAACTTTTCATTGAGCAGAAAAAGATATATACTATATTGGCATTATTATTTGTGCAAAAATGTCCAAACAATTTAGAATTAAGTGAAATGTCCAACCTTTAATTGTGATGGAGCCTCAGATTTAAAATTTTCAATGATCCCAAACCTCATTAACATTCATAAAAATACAGTACAGTTCACATTTAAGGATGACCGAGAACTCTTCAGATTCATAAAGTCTCAGATTTGGGAATATAATTACTGGTATAAAGCATTATAGTGTTTTATTTCATATTGTCTGTTGTTGATTCCCATAATCTTTCTGTAAGACGTCATATTGGTTCACCTTATTAATCGTTAATGTAAGTAAATATAGAGCCTGTGTACATTTTCCTTCAAGGTGTTAAATGTTTAGTCAAATCATACAACATAGATCTAACAGGAACAAAGTCAGAGCAGCAAACTTACTGATTGAGATCCTTGTTGTGACGTTTCCGTTTCTGTAAAGAGTTTTGGGGCCAATGAATTCTTTATCCTCCACTTTACTCTGTTCAGTTCCACAGTAGTAGAGTCCCTCATCAGAATCAGTGATGTTCATGATCAGCAGGTCATAAGAATGAGAAGAAGAGTTTCTCACAAATTGAAAATGATGAAGAACTTTCAGATAATCTTTAGTGTCACTGTCCAGATTGTATGATGATTTGACATTAAGGACGAGAGGAGGCTGGTTCTCATGAGAGCAGTTCCTGTACCACACTATGGATACTCCAGTTGATAGTTTACAATCACAGTAGAGCGTGATGTTGTCTCCTGGTCTGACTGTCACTGATCCAGAGATCCAATCATGACTGCAGGATGCAACTCCTGGAAAACAGAGAAAATGGTAAAAGCAGATTGAAATGTGCTCCGTGTTGGATGATTTCACATTACAGCAGGGGCAGATTTCTGCTCAACACAACAACAATGAGAGCGTAATTAAAACATCCAAAATAAGTCTCCATAGACTTACCTAAGAGAGCGACTAGAAAAGTGTGCAGCCCGTCCATGAGTGATGATGACCGAAAGTTAACAGACAGACTGATTTTACCCAAAGATGTGATGCCTTTGAAGACAAAGTGTTCAATGTGATTGGCCAGTCAAGTGGAACATTTTCTTCTGTGGGATCTTTCTATTGGTGCAAAGATGTTTGTGGTATTCTGCGCCTTCCTGCTTCCCGTACGTGATTACTCTGTAACGAACACAATAAGATGAGCCCAACTGAGGGCTTGACATTACACAGCCTTGTATTTTATACACTGTTGTGTTTGTACAGTAGTACGTACAGTATGCTGAGGGGTTTATAGACATGAAGGACCAGAAGAAGTACATTCCTTAAAATAAATAAATAAGGACCGTGTTGGATACAGTGAGCTTCATTTACAGTTCCAACAAGTCACTATAGTGGCCAATTTACTTTATTATTATTATTGCTGTATTTATGCTTTTTTAAAGCATATTTTATTATTATATTAAATGGTCAACACCGTCAAAATGTCTAGTCTCCAACCCAAAATGAAGTTTTACAGAGGACACTATTAGTGACATGTAGCTGGTCTTTGGCTGCTGTGGTAACTCACTCTAATGGTTTACATAGATGATAAACACAGATGAGCTCGTATTCAAAATGTATCTGGAAATTACATTATAACTTTAATAGTTTCTAGTCGCTCATCTCAAACTCATCTTTTTAAAACCGGCAGGAGGAGAGCTGGTAATGCTAGCAGCACTGGAGCTAATGGCTAATGTACGTAGGTTTTATTGAGAATATCTCAAAGTGATATTTGCTCCATTTTTTTGTGGATCTGATCTTTGGCTTTAAACACGTGATATGATTGTGATTCGGACGTCTTTTCTTTGTGTTTGTTGTTCTGTTCATGAGAACTGATAAAGAAGTTGTGAGCATTAAGTGCTCGTTAGCATTAAGACAGGCTGTTGCTCTCCGTCCTGCTTCAGAGGCCAAACTGCGTGCAGACGTTCATCATCATCATCATCATCGTTTACAGTCTCTAGAAAGATCTATAAGAAGAGGCCAATTATCTTTAGGTCTTTACATTGGGGCTGGAACACGGTGTGATATCACTGATGCTGTGGTTGCTGTGCGTGCCGCTATGTGCGTGTGTGTCTACACATGCTTGTGTGACACCAAGTTGGGGGGGGGGGGGAGCTGTTTTACTTCTAACAACTGGAATAACACCAGGGTCTTTTTTCTATCATAAGCGGGGGAAGTCCTTGAGCCGGACTGAACAATACAGGTTCGGTTTACTCAAGGAACAGAGATCATATTGTGGTACAAAACAATAATTTATTAGTACCGCAGTAAACACAAACACCGTAAAACTATTCTAATTTGGCTGACAGCTTATCACGGATCTGTGTACTTGCCCGGGTCCCTAAACACGGTGAGGGTAGGGCGAGCGTCTGTGTGGAGGCAGCGAATCCCCCAGTTCATCTAATCACCCGTGCAACCTATAAACATGCAACACACACACACACACACACACACACACACAAACACACACACACTGCAACTCACTCACGCAACAGCAAAACAAAGTGCATTAAAAACCGTTCATGCAATATCACACCACATGCTAAAATCTGATCTAATACCCACGCTATTCCTCCACACATCGGGCACCCCCCTCTCGAAATATATCAGCTGGTTACAATTGCTAATCGCCACTCGTACCTGAATACGCCAAAACAGCAGTTTGTGCGCCACCTGGAAAGGCTGAGGAGCTAAACCCTCCCCAACGACGTCCGAAGGGACTCTGCTCGGCCTGCAAAACCTGCAAGGTTGAGATCTGTGAGCTGCCAATTTCCCCCATCACAAACAACCTACCAGTTAGCGCCCTACCTGCTACTCTCCTCTCAGCGGACTGCTAGAGAACGGGAGACGGCCCGTAAAATAGGGCGCCTATTGAGGACGTCAGCCCAACCCCTTGACACTACCCGTCACATCTACCCCCACTACTTTTATCCTTGTCCCGAGGGTAAGACTCACCTCCCTGACTTAAGACTAAGGGGACCTAAAACGGTAGCCCCCTGCCCACTCACGGTTGTCTGTGGCAAGCGATGAACGTTTGCCCACTGTCACCCGGGTTGTCCGTAGAAACATTAGAGCTTGAGGGCGGCTTGGCTGGCCCGTCCCTTCCCTTGCAGAGTGGTCTGTTGGTAGTCCCGGTGGATCGGGGGTCACTCCAAACTGCATTTCCACCTCACTGGCGACCCTGCAAGGAGGCTCCGCTTCCACTGGGTTGAGGTCTTCTGAGGCCAGTGGCCTTCCTTTCACAATCCACACTTCTTCAAGTTCTTCCTCCTCAGGAGCAGCTTCCACCGTGATTCTTTACTCATCTTGGGGAGGGCGGATATGGTGAGCATTCCCGGGAACAGGTCTAATCATTGTTCGATGCACCTGCTTAGTTTGGTTAGGGTTATCGACGGGAGCCACAGTATATACAGATCCAACATTTATTGGCGCTTTCAAAATTCTGTAGGGTGTTGGGTTCCAGTGATCCTGGATCTTGTTTCTTCCCCTTACGCTGTGGTCCCTCAGATACACCAACTGGTCCACGGTCAGCCCTTCGTCAACATTTTGGTCGTGTCTCTCCTCTCTCCTTGTGCAGCCCCCTGCATTTGATGTCTTGCCCCGGCATAGGCTGCTCGTAGTCGCCTCTGGTGTTCGCCAAGCCAGTGGTCCACCGTACCTGCAGTGGAGTCTGTTACTCTCCCTAGCAAGAAGTCCACCGGCAACTGTGGATCTTGACCAAACATCAGCAGGTAAGGCGACTCACCAGTTGATTGGTGTATGGTGGTGTTGTAGGCAAAGATAAGTTGTGGGAGGTACAACGTCCGGTCCCTCTTCTTCTCCACTGGCAGCGTGCGCAGCATATTGTGCAATGTAGGGTTGAAACGTTCACACTGCCCATTTCCTTGCGGTCTGTAAGGTGTGGTCCTACTTTTCGGAACCCCGTACAACTCACATAGCTGCTGGATGAGTACCGCTTCAAAACTTCTCCCTTGGTCGGAATGAATCCTAGACGGAACTCCAAACCTGTCGAACCACTCATGGACTAGCAGTCGGGCCACCATAGGTGCTTCCTGGTCTCGAGTGGGAATGGCCTGTGTATACTTTTACTGAAAAGTATACACAGTCATACACAGAAAATACATCAGTCATTATCAGAACATGTTCTCTACCATCTCTAGCCGGTTCAAGCAAGGTAAAGTCAATGGCCAATATCTGATTTCGCCGGCAGGCCAATAAATGGCCCATGGAGGCACGAACTTTTGGTTGGACCGCTTTTGCCAATGTACAGCGTTCACAGTTCTGGCAATATTCTTACCTGGCCAGTATCTTTGTCTCACTAGGTCGGTTGTTCGTTCTACACCTTGGTGTCCTTGGCCCTGATGTAACTGGTGCAATACTTCCTCTTTTAGTTTAGCAGGCAATACTAGCTGTCGTCCTTCCTCCCCGCCATCTGGTCTAGACACACGGCGATACAGAACTCCCTCCTCCTTTGTCACCCTCTCCCATTGGCGAAGCATCTCCAAAACTGATTTGGGGATGGTGTGCCTCTCCTGCTGGTCTGGGCCTCGTTTCCGGTTCCAAAAAAACAGAAAGGTTGATGATAGGATCCGTTTCCTGCAACGCAGCTAGATCTACAGCAGAATGGGTAGGAAAAACTGACACGGTTGACTGAGTTACCTCCATGGTCGGTTGTGTGTCGAGTTGTGCTATCATCTGGGGGATGGCACTGCCCAACATCAAGGCACCACATCCTTCAGCAGGCGCATCAGTTTGATACTGCCGGGATAATCCATCTGCATTACCATTGGCTCGGCCGGGTCTGTACTTAATGGTGAAATCAAAGTCAGAAAGTTGAGCCGCCCACCGCTGCTCGAGGGCACCCAATTTAGCCGTGGATAGATAACTTAAAGGGTTATTGTCCGTATACACCACTCACTTCTGACCCAGGAGATATTCCCTGAATTTCTCGGTCATGGCCCACTTGAGCGCCAAGAACTCAAACTTCATGGAACTGTAATTTGTCATATTCTGTTCCGTTGGCTCCAATCCTCTGCTGGCGTAGGCCACTAGTCTCACCTTACCACTCTGCTCCTGCGAGAGCACTGCTCCAAGACCACTGTAGTTGGCATCGACTTCCAAGATGAAGGGCCGGGAGAAGTCAGCATAATTTAGCACTGGCGCAGATACCAATCTTGCTCTCAGATCGTGAAAACTCCTCACACATTCGTCTGTCCAGACCTCATTGAATGGGCGACCGTATGGCTTTTTCTTTTTGGACCCCGCCATTTCAGCGACTAGGCGGTGCAGGGGAGCGGCAAGAGTAGCAAAGCCATTGACAAACCTTCGATAATAACTAGCGAACCCCAAAAAGGAACGTAATTCCGATGTGTGTTTGGGTGGGGCCCAATTAGCCACTGCACTGATTTTATCTGGGTCTGTGGACACTCCATCCTTTGAAATAACGTGGCCCAGATACTTCACCTTGGGCTGAAAGAAGCTGCACTTCTCCAATTTGACTTTCAGGCCTTCTTGGTGAAGCCGACTCAGCACTGCCTCCAGGCGTGTCACATGCTCCCCTATGGTAAAGGAAAACACCACCACATCATCCAAATACAAAAGTAATGACTCAAAATGCTGGGCCCCAAACATTCGCTCCATCAAGCGTTGAAATGTGCCTGGTGCATTGCACAGGCATACGGTTAAATTCGAACAACCCGAAGGGCGTACAAAAAGCTGTCTTGTTCTAGTCGGCCTCTGCCACTGCAACTTGATTGTACCCACTGGCCAGATCCATGATACTGAACCAGCGGGCACCCGACAAGGCATCCAGCGACTCTTCGATACGGGGCAGAGGGAAAGCATCTTTTCTTGTTTTTCCATTAACTTGCCGATAGTCCACACAAGGACGTATGCTGCCATCTTTCTTTTTCACCAAGACAACCAGAGAGGCATAGGGGCTGCTACTTTCCCTAAAGACCTGATTTTCCAGCAACTGGTGGATATGAGCTTTAACGGCCTCGTAATCCGATGGAGGGATACGTTGATAGCGCTGCCTTACGGGCATATTGTCCACCAAAGGTATGTCATGAACAATAAGGTTTGTACAGCCTATGTCACCCTCACATGCGGAGAACACTGACTCATACTTATGTAAAAGGGACCTCACCGTGCCATGTTCGTGGGAGGGTATACTGGACAAGTCGATGTCCGTGATAGCATTCTGTACAGATCTCCCTCCAGCAACTTGGACCGAGGACGTTGCCACAACACCTTGGTCCGACCTCCCCTCAATTTCAATAACGCCGTCAGGTAGGCTCATAATCTCTACATGGGCCACTTCTCCAACCCTAGTGCGGGGGGTGGGGGGGGGGAAATATATCAACAGTGCCTACATTGACAAACGGGATGTACACTGTGCCTTGTGCGACCTTTACGATAGCTGGTGCCAACAATAAGCCACCGGGGAGATTGCTATTCTCAGGGGGTTGGAATAGTACAGAGCCACGAGGATTAAATAATCCCTGGGAGCAAGTAGTTGCCACTAGTTTCATGGTGCCAGCTGGGACACAAACTCTGGCCTTACCTCTAACTCTGACTGTCCCTACTTTCTCAGCCTGTGGTGTGAGGTGCACTTGATGACAGTACTGCAAGGCCTGGTGCCAGGTGCTATTCACATCCTTAATAGCGGGGAGGTCAAACATGCCCAATCTGTGCTGGCCAAACAGTTCTTCGAAACACTGACCAATAACATTCATTCCCAGGACACCTGGGTAATCTGGTTTGGGTAAGGATTGCGGCGGGTCCTTAACAATGAGAATGCCACGTTTTGGAATCACCTTGCCAAGCACTGTGACGTCAAACTCTAAGTAACCAACATAGGGGATGTCTAGATGGTTAGCCGCTCTGAGCTGCTACCATCTGCATGACTGCAGCCTCTCCTGACCCCACGACTGGAAATGCTGAATAAAGAAGCTTTCAGTTATGGTGGATACCATTGATCCAGTGTCTAACAAACAGGAAACTCCCACCCCCGCGATATGGACAACAACATGGGGGCAAGGATGTACCAACTTAGAGATTGATTCAGGGTCGATCTGAACTATGCTATCCGAGCCTAACATGACCCCTTCTGATTGGCGGCTCTGCCCGTCAGAGGGTGTTAGTTTTCCGACGGCGGCTGCGAGAACCTTGGCCCATCCCGTCCAGATTGGGGGGCTGCCCGTTCATTCTCACAGTCCCTAGCGAAATGGCCTGGCTGTTGACACCGCCTACAGATGAATGCACCCCTAGATTGAAACTGAGGGCGCTTAGGGACGCTTAAGGCCGACAATGTTTTAGAAAACTGCATAAACTGCTCCTGCTGACTTTTTAGCATTTCCCGTAGCTCGGCTACCTCCGCCTTCAAAGTGGCATGGGGGCCCATGCATTCGGGTCTACCGGAAGCACCCTGATGGATGCTATAAACCGACGGGACTGAATAGCTTCTCGGCCTCCCTTCCCGTGGTCTGCCTTCTCGCTCCCATCGGACGGCTGCATCACGGATATCATGGAGATCATAGGCGGGGTTAATACGAACAAGTTCTTTCAGCGCACGGCTAAGGTTGCCATCCGACACAAACTCAACATATTGATCATGTAAGAGGCTAGCTGCCTGTGCAACTCCATCAGGAGAATGTTGTATAACAATATCCATTAGAGAGAATAGCGCATTTGCATACTCACGCAATGTCTCCCCTTCTTGCTGTTTCCGAGAGTGGAAATTCTGCAATAGAGCAATAGGTGAGTCTGCACAGCCATACCGAGTCTGAAGGATGGAAAAAATTTGTTTGGGATCTTCCCGAACCTGTCTAGAACGATACTTAATTTCATCTCTTGCTGCTCCTCCTAAATGGTCATAAATGAAATGAGCCTGTTCTACAATAGACATCCTACGTGTGCGAAATTTTGACTGCACCTCATCCATCCATTCCCTCACCGATACCTCCCCTTCTCCTGTAAAGGTGGAAAACTTATCCTTGGGAATGTACACCACATGCTCAACAACTGGTGGCAACCTAGTAGAGGTTTCCATACCGAGAGTACCGAGTAGTTGCGCAGAGTCAAGACTACCATCGTTGTCAGAGGGAGGTGCGGTCAAGGAGCCCGGGACCGGGTTTAGGGACTGTCTTTCCTGTAACAGCCGCTCATTATCTGCCTTCAACCTTTGCACCATCTCCCGAAGTTCTTGCATCTCCTCGTCCATGATAACACTGTGTCTTCTCCGAAAACCGCTGGAAGCGTTGTCTTAGGGGTCCTCCGGCACACAAACTGCTGCTTTTGCTCCACAATACACAAAACACAAGCCTATCAACAATTGTATGGACCCTATAAGGAAACAGCTACACGGTATTTACAAACATACATTCCAAAAAGTGCTTAAGCAATATGTCTCTGTCCTTGGTCCTGCCAGCAACGCCAAATGTGACACCAAGTAGGGGGGTTTACACCGTAAAACTATTCTAATTTGGCTGACAGCTTATCACGGAACAATCTGTGTACTTGCCCGGGTCCCTAAACACGGTGAGGGTAGGGCGAGCGTCTGTGTGGAGGCAGCGAATCCCCCAGTTCATCTAATCACCCGTGCAACCTATAAACATGCAACACACACACACACACACACACACACACACACACACACACACACACACACACACACACACTGCAACTTACTCACGCAACAGCAAAATGTTTTGCTGTTGCAAAACAAGTGCATTAAAAACAGTTCATGCAATATCACACCACATGCTAAAATCTGATCTAAGAAAATACCAACGCTATTCTTCCACACATCGGGCACCCCCCGCTCGAAATACATAAAAACAACAGTAGGCAAGTACCCAAAACAAAACCCGAGCGCGGGACGCATACAATGTTAGGATATCAGCTG